TCCGATAATTTTCAATTATGCTTTCATATAAAGTCTAGTAATAGCGAAGTAATAGCGAAAGCATAAAAAGAGTATTTTCGTTGAATTATGAGAATATCGCTATTCAAAAAGTATTCAAATTTAAAAAACACTATGACACTAACTCAAAGTTAAAATTGTTTACGGTGGATCATATTTTTAATTATTATAAAATGGTAAAAAGCTTAATTTAGGGGATACAGATGAGTTTTATAATTAAAAAAAATGTAAATATTAATAACGAGTAAAATCTTCATTAAGTCCGGTCCCACTCGAGATATGACACGATATTACCTCCCCAGATATTAAACGAAATAGATGCGCAAACACAACACACAGCCCGGAATTTTTTCCCCGTTTCTTTTGACTTTTTGGGTTCAGGCCTTCGGATCAAACGTGTGTATCTGGTTCCCACCTATCTGTTGTGGGGACATGTCGGAGCACACCATTTGATCGGGGTCAGTGGCTAAAGCGTCTGACGGCTTATTTTTGCAGCTGCGGGCACCACCCAAGGCCCTTGTTTAGGTAACCGACGGTGGTGCTTAGCGGGATCATTGATCCCTGAAACTTTAAAATCATCTCAAAACGTCGAGATTTGCGGTCAAACTTGACACGATTGCAATATTTTCCTTTATTATTATAACTGGGAAAGTGAAATGGAAATTTTTCTCTACGTAATGAGTTAAACCGCTGTTGATATTCAAGTACATTTACAGTATTTATTACATCGTGACTATATACAAATTTAAGAAAATAATTTACGATACAATCATAGCTTTAATTGTAAAATTATTAGTTGAGCATTAAAATACAATCAAACATAACTAATCTATTTGAAAGAAACTTAAAGTCTGTATTTACACATTAGAAAGGCAAAGAAAGCGTTGTTTATATTATACTTTATACGCCTACTTTTATATCAGTGTATGCACGAAATACCACCAGCTGGGTTTGTTTAATATTATCAGCAATGACGTATGTAATGATTTCACCATAAATTGACATTTTCAAATGATTCATCTCTTGCCACACCCGTTACGTCACACGCGAGAAGTCATCCCAAGCCGTTACGCGTGACATTTTCTATTGTATTTGCTGATGTATTTAGGAAATTCACGTAATTTGTTTGTAATTCGTGCGAAAAATTTTCACTTGTGAGCAAGAATAATAAATGTATATAATTTTCGTCTGATTCAAGAACAAGAAAATATGCTAAGAAAATTTAAATGATATGTAATTATTTTTTTAGTTTAAATTATTATAAATGATAATTAATGAATGAATTTATTTGATAAATAAATTAATCAAATTTAAGTAAAAATAAAAATTATTATTATTATTATTATTATTTTAACACAATAAATATATAAGCCATTTAAAAGTGCAAAAATCGCCAAAAATCCTGTATTTTCTTATTTTCCTTCGTCTGCACTGCAGAAGCTCGTACAGAGAAACTACCGGATCTAGAAAGCTCAAATTTTAAACTTAAGCCTTTCTCATTATCAGTGAGATGGTACATTACCTAGC